GAGGCTGAGGCAGGAGAATGGCGTAAACCTGGGAGGCGGAGCTTGCAGTGAGCTGAGATCCGGCCACTGCACTCCAGCCTGGGGGACAGAGCGAGACTCCGTCTCAAAAAAATAAATAAATAAATAAATAAATAAAGCCAAGCAATGCTGAGCCTCGGCTTCACCTGCCCCTTCCCCAGACGTAGCTGTTCAGAGGCAGGTGTGGTTTCTTCCCGGCCTTTCCCCTTTGCATGTAGCGTGTGTGTATGTAGGTGTGCACACACACGTTCCGTTCAGGGGTTACTTTTATTTTTTGTTCGGGGGGATATCTAGTGAGGCAGCCTGGCGTTTGCTCATCTTGTCTTTAAAGTTTGGAGTCCTGACCGGGCGCAGTGGCTCAAGCCTGTCATCCCAGCACTTTGGGAGGCCGAGGTGGGCAGATTACTTGAGGTCAGGAGTTCAAGACCAGCCTGATCAACATAAAGAAACCCTGTCCCTACTAAAAATACAAAATTAGCTGGGTCCCTGGTGGCAGGTGCCTGTAATCCCAGCTACTCGGGAAGCTGTGACAGGAGAATCGCTGGAACTCGGGAGGCAGAGGTTGGGGTGAGCCAAGATTGCAGCATTGCATTCCAACCTGGGCAACAAGAGTGAAACTCTGCCTCAAAAAATAAATAAATAAAATGAAGTGTGGAGTCCTCTCCGGAATGGGCGTCGGGCACTTACTAGCTGGCCTCTGCCGGCTGCTTGGCTGCCCCAGTTTCTGCTCGACAGGTGTGCTGGCCACCTGGTGTGGTGTTCGCAGTTGTGCACCAGCGGGGAGGGTGAGGCCTGGGCCCCTGGCAGCCCCATCCCTGAGCTTCCCCTGTCCCAGGGCTCCCCAGCCCACAGACTGTAGTGCCCCATGGTGTGGCCCTCAGCTTCCTGGGGTCCAGCTCTGGGCCCCTCACAGCTGGCCTTCATGCCTCAGGCCCCAGCCATTCTTCCCCTCCTGCAGCCCTGGCCCCAGCCACCTCCAGAGCTCCCTCCCGGCTCTCACCCAGGGATATAGTGAGGCTCTGGCGTGAAGAGATCGTGTTTCTGAGTAGTTGTCATTTTGCTTTCACTCTGGCCTTGCTGGCTCCAGTCCCTCCGGCATCCAGCTCCCTTCCCTGAGGGCAGTCCTGTCACCGGGCAACCATTGTGAGGGACCAGCATTGTGGGCACCTCCTGGGCCAGGACACCTCGCTAACCCTGTGAGGGCCCAC